GTTACTACCCGTTCCATGCATACCGCACAACACACTACCGCGAGATATCATTCTTCAACTATAGCGCCCGCCTCCGAAACAGCAGTGGTCTTTCCCTCCGCAGCTGAAGTGTCGATTTTGAAGACGAATATTCGACGAACATTATTCCCTCTCTCACACCCCTCTACGTACGACCCTTGAGGATCACCATCCAGCCCCGACGGGGTGGGGTGACGTCCCCAAAGTACAGGTCATAAAAAAAAAAGGAAAAATAGATAGCAGCGCAAGGTTGCGTTAGTTAACAATGCTTTATTGCACTTTGCAATCTCAAGCAAGGTTCTTAAATCCTCCAGAGAGTTAGACAATCCCTATAAGCTAGCGGCCTAAACTGGACTGGAGACCCCAGATATGTTAATTATGTCTGGCCCAATAAACCGACTCTAGGGAGTGTTGAGTCCTATCATCACCTCTAATTATACGATTTAGGAATGATAGAAACCACAATCACCACGCCCGGAAGTGTGGTGCCCAGCAGTTAGGACTCACACATTGGTTAACCGCTGCCTTCAAACTGGGGATTGAACATAGCTTCCCCCCGGAAGGATTTTAGCAAGCACTAATCTGCAGTATACCAACGCTGTCACCAGCAGGTATTCGCGACTTTGTGATTGGCCTCTTGACACCTGTGGAGCTTAAAGTTAGCCTTACTTCACGCGACAAAGTTACTCTGGCCTTCGGATGAACCATAAAATCTCGGCTAGCCAACTCCAGACTACTCTTCTTCATGATATATTAGCGTCGGACGACCCACCTTCAGGGAGAATGACCTTGCACAGACGAACAGACTCAAATGCTTAGATCGATGTAGAGTTATGTACTGCCCCCTTTATACGGTCTAGGGAATTTTCTTGTGAATGTTGCAAACGTTGTAACGCAATTAATATAATACGCACATCCTTCGGCGATGGTTATAAAAATTTGAAATAAATTTCGATTCATTTGCTTTTATCGTGATTACTATCATCCACATAGTACTTTGAATATTCCGTATAAATTCGTTCAACGTTCTTTGCATGTTAAAAGCAATTGCCGCCAATGTCCCCCAATCAGAACAAGAACAGTTTTCAAAACATCTAAAGATCCGACAATTGTCAGACATATTATCATGAATAACATCATCATCAACATTAGCATCAGTATCATTAGTATCATTATCATATATAAAGAGCACAAGGCAGTTTTCATTACTAACAAGTGCGTGGCGTGGCTTTCTCTATCTGAGCTAAAATGCGTGTGTTTACATATACGATAATTGTTTTCCAGAAATATGTTCGTTTAACAAAAATTGTTTCTTTGTGTATATATATATATATGTACATACACATATATGCATATAAATCTCCTTTCAAAAATATTGCTCATTTAATTAACATATATAGTACGCAGAGTGATATATTAAATGAAAAATATGATGCAATAAAATGTATAGCGAATCAATAAGAATACTAATGCGAACATCAATATCTTAACAGTTTTTATACATAAATATTTGATATATGAATAAAGCTAATAATGTCTTTATATATTTTTATTTAAATTTCTTATGATTGCTGAGTTTGAACAAACAACTGGTGGAGTGAAGATCTTTTGAATTTTCAAACATTCTCGTGCAGTTTTTTCGCATTCGTTAAAAGAATTCATTTGCATGAAACTTTATGGTCAGCCACCGTAAAGTTATGAAGTATTTAAAAAATGTGTTCGCAGATTTGCGATCTTAGATACACAACCACACTTTGCAAAATGTCTGTTTATTTACGATTAACGTGAGGTCTTCTGTTGATTTCATCTTTTTAATCTTATACGTCTGCTCGTTGATAAAACATTTACAGTCGTGGAAATTCGCAATACGTTTTACGAAAGTATGATTTTTTTTTTAAGAATGATTTGTGCCTTCTTATACCTACCGCCGGAAGAGGAAGGGTATGTTCATTTTTTCAAAACGCTTGTAACACCCAGACGGAAGCTCAAGAGTTGTATTTTTGATCAGCACGAAATTCTGAATCGATTTAATCGTATCCGTCTATCCAAATGTCCGTCCATCCATATGTCCGTTTATCCATATGTCTGTCTGTCTTTCTGTGTAACGTCTGTTGAAAACATGTAGGTTGGTATTGAAAGTGGTCCAAATCGTTCGGAGGACTCGTCCACACCACATAAGTTAAGCACATTCTGTCGTTTTAAAAAAAAACGAAACGGTTTTTGGGTCAATAGTCAAAAACTAGAGCAGATAAAGCTGTAAAGCTATAGCATCTGTAAAAAGCTGAAAACAAAATGAGCCACGCTTTCCAATAGCGAGTCACTTTTCATATTTTTGGCCAAGCCTTTATAACGCCCAGAAGCAAGCTTCAAGAACACTAAGGTATATACAATGTTGACAAGTGCCGCATTCGGAATGCACCTAAGCGTCGTTCGTCTATCTGTCCACACACCCAAATCTATGGTACCTGCGATAAACTTTCTCTTGTCCGCGACATATTATGATGCCGTCTAGATATATGCAGAGAAATGACAGTCAAAGGACGCGCTTACAATGTCAACCCTTGAATGCAAAAAAACCGACAACGTGCTTTCCGTGTTTTTCGCTACAACCGTCACAGGATATAATTTTCCGCTTTTATTCTAAAAAATCGGAACTATCAACCCCTCCCATATAAACCTGTAGCGCATAAAAATTTCTTTTTTCTTTAATCTTTTTCAGGGTATAAGTTATTCACTCACGACTGAATATAATATTTTTTTTCAATTGGTTTGCTCCAACAACGGCTTATTTATAATATCTCGTTACCTAAGAGCCAGATCCAAAAATTGGCAATCGGAAAATGCATAGTTTTTTTAGTTTTTGTATATCTAAAAGTGGAAAATAGAATTTTATCATTCCTTTCACTTTCACTATCCCCATATGAAAAGGAAAAATATGCAGAATTTTAGTTCAGGAGCGATGTGGCTAGATTTTTAGTTTCTTTGTAACTTTGCCGATAACTTTGCCAACAAAATGTCTGTTGACCAATACTTTTGTTACTTTATATAGGTCGTCGGAAACCTACGCCTTGTAGTTCACGACAATTTCAATAAAAACTCTCGATTCAATTTTTGGCCAATCTTTGAAAAAGCAAAATCAATTATTTGCACAAATAGTTTTTGAAACTAAAACCGCGCGATATGAATATTGCTTGAAATCGTTAATTTGGAAATTAAACAGACACAGACAGTCTGGGAAGGCCGACTATCACCAGCACCGCCATTTGGCTTAACGTAATTAATTCATCACAAAGGATTACGAACTATATCTTGTTTCCACATAAAAGATCACTTGTCATAGGAATCCTTATGGGAAGGAGGAGGATTTAAGAAGTAGGCGCTACAGTCTGCTTCGATAAGTAAAATAACTATTTTGTCGCAATTTTCAACAGCAAAAAACTACCGCTATACAAAAGCTTGTTTGTTTTTAAGGAAGGAACGACGAAAAATGATTTCATCCCATTCTATCCCAAATTTTACCAGTTCATTTAGTACAACAAGTTGCTTTTTCACGACCTTTTATCCATATTTTCTCAATATGGCGCCTCATATGAAAAGCGGACCACTCCAATACTACTCCAATAACATTGAATATAACTTTAGATGAATAGACATGAAAAGGATAGACGGGGGCGCTTTCAATGGAATCATAAAATGATTCTATTCGTACAATACATGATGAGTTTATATTAAGTCCTTCTGCGGATTGCATTCTTTCGGAAGAACTTATAATATTCATTGGAAAAGCACTGCAGGATGTTTTCTCTTTTCAGATAATTGTACTGTTTAATCCTTGGTTTTTTCATATCTGTATTATCAGAAAAAAACACTGACTATACATATGCAAGTAAGCCCTGAATAGCATAAAATATTTAAATTTATCTTTAAAAGCACTTGTCTGAAAGACTAGAACTAGAACTGTTTAGTCCAAATCCGATTAAAATGAACAATTGGTGAGCATTTGTAAAATCTGATCAAAAACTCTGAAACTCTTAAAATGTCAAAAAGAGCAAAGAAATTTTGTCCATTGATTATCTAACAAATTTGGTTTGACCGAAGTAAATAGAAATCTTGATGCAATGACCAAACAACCAATCCCTAACAACAATTTTGAACTCTCTAGCTCTCATTTACTTCCAAATCTAGAGAAAATTCCAAATGGCAAACCAAATAAGTTGTAGTTAACGTAGATGAGTATTTTGAAGAAATTTCACCAAAAAAAATTTAGATATGGAAAACAGGTAGGAAAATGCACATAACACTTAACGGAGTATGTATTGAAGAACCAAGCAAGTGCTTTGGTGCCTTTATTGAAGCCAATTTAAATTATCTTTGATGAGAACGTACGTCACGTCACGTCTTTATTGTGGATATATATGTACCTGAGCTAAATAGAATTCGCTCCCAAACGACTATAACTTTCTGGATACTTCCTTTTTTTACTACAAAATGTGGGTGGGCGTAATTTGTAAGTTGGACAAAATAATCGTCATGTTGTTGTTGTTGTGCTTTCGAACATAGTTTTAAATTTTGTTTCTTCGCTTTAATGTTTAATGTAATTTTTATAAATTTTCAATTTTTCACAACATTGTTGGTCATTTCAAATCTTGTACACTTCGACTCCTTAGAAATTATTATTATTTATTACAAAATCGAAATATGTTAGAAAAGAAAAACAAAAAAAAAATAAATAAAAAATAAAAAAACATAAATCTTTTTACTCGAAAATTACTTAATTTAGAGAACAAATTAAGCTTTCAACAACTCCTACCAATTGCCTCTAGGAGTAGAACAAACTTGAACACAATGAATACTTTTTTGCGCTTGCATTTACCTTTAATTAACATCATTCATTTTTCAGATAAAATATAATAACTACCAGTTGCAAAAATAAAAAAAAAAACAAAACAAAAACAAAAAAACGAAACTAACAATAACGTCAGAGAGCATCATCATCATCGTCGTCGTCGTCGTCGTCGTCATCATCCACATCATTGGCTGCTACACACATCAGCAACAACAAATTGCCACCAAAACCCAAAGGTCAACAACATAATCTACTTAAAAACAACTTTAAAAGCCTTTGAAAGAAAAGACAAAACACAACAACAACACAAACTACAAAAAAAAAATAAAAATATAAAAAAAAAAAAAACATCGGTAATAAAAGCAAGAGCAACCAACTCCAAGAGTAATAAATCAAAATACGTTAAAGCGTTACTGACGAATTTCAAGCGCAAAACATACATATATCAAAATAACAACAAAAACAATAGTAACGTTACTAACATACGCAACTGTTAAAAGTAGCACCTACGCTCACTATTTGTATGTGTATGTATATGTTGTATATATGTGCAAAGGATATTCCCGTATTTTTAACTGCAACAATCACAGCAACAACATGCCTTTAATGTTAGCCACTTTAGATCAACAAGAACTAAGCATATCATCATCATTTATTGGCAATGAAGTTGCATCTACTACCGCCAACGTCATCACTAGTGGCAGTAAATCACCTTCATCGCCATCACCAACCAAATCAATGTCAGTTGCCACCAATCATCATTACTACAACTACATGCCGGTAACAACAAATGCTCAGCCGATAGCAGTGGCAAATTTTAAAATTAATAATCACAATAACAATAATAATGAACAAGTAGCCGCTAATGCATTTACAACTTCCACTAACGCTCTTACCCCTCAGATCAATAATTTCGGCAACAAGCAACAACAACAACAAATATCAAATGCTAAATCGTCTTTCTTTAATCCTGCCTTTAGCATTGACAATAAGCCTTCGTTGTTCTATGCACACAATAGTGAAAATATGGCGGGAGCTGAAGGTGACGAGAAAGAACGAGAGATTGCCGTCAATACGCGATATATGGATAATTATCGTAGTTGGTATAATAAAGATTTCTTCGCGAATACGAAAAATTGGAATATTCACGACAGAATGACAGACTCGCAGAACACGGCCGAGATGCGGATAAAAAAAGAGCAAGTGAAAGAAGAAGAAGAAATTGTACAGTCACAAGAAGAAATTGCACAGTCGCAAGAAGAAAGCGTTGCCGCAGACATTTCTCAGAAGAATGCTACAAAGGCAGAACTAATAAATGGTAAGTTTGATGCATGCATCAACCAAAGTGTTTATTGCTTGCTAGATTTAAGTAAATACATTTTTTATTAAGGTCTTGCCATCTTAAAATTTTAAAGTGCAATTTGCAAGCAACTCGTTAAAGGTTTTTATCGTCGCCCCTTGAAGTTCAAACTTTACATTTCCAAATATAAAAAACAGGATAAAATCGCTCCTTGCCTCCGTAAAGAGGCACCGCTTTCAAATAATGGGTCAACTATGCTTTCAATGTACCTTTGTGTCTTCTGCATAGGGATTTTTAGCCTTAGAGACACAAAGATATTGCAAAGTTTTCTGTTCAGATTTTCTTTGTAACTTTATTCGAAAGAAAAGCTCCCGAAAAACATCCGAACAAACTCAAACGTGTGCTCGAGCCAGGCGGGCGAATCCGGTTTCATTTTCCGAGCCATTACACTAAACTAAAAAAGGATTGTATCCGATACTTATATAAGGTAGTAGACTACATTTCTTTGCCAAGTAGAAAGTATAGCGCCTTCCTGCTCTAACTTCTTGAAGGTATCATTATAAAAAACCATGCCTACCGGCTATATTGACGTTATATTGTGGATTCCGTGAAAGTCTTATAAAAAATTGTCACTAAGAGCAACTTTCAAATCTCAGCCAGATTCAGATGCATGCCAGCCGTGGAATGAGTAAAATCGTCTATGTATAACACATAAAAGCACTCGGAGTCCTCACGCAGCATATACTTTATATATAGGATCTATGCAGAACTGAAAATCATTTGAAAAACGATCCAGCTTTTACTACACTGCTCGATAAGGGATCATTCTCCGAATCAATTTAAGCATGTCTGTCCTAGGTGTCAGTATCGCCTAACTGTATTCGCCTAACTTAGATGCGTTAAATTTTGAGACATTTTGATAAAACTTGATGCTTCGAAATTTTTGGCCTAAGGACGAACACTATTGAGAATAGTTCGCAACGGAATACTGTCCGCATAACGCCTAATTTCAAAAAGATGCCGTATGACTAACTGTAGGGGGAGGTCTAGGATATTTTATCATGGGCTCGAACCGTGTATATCTTTTTAAAGCTATATTTATCGCGTTCAAGTCCATTTTTAAAATAGATCTCTTGAACTACCTGCAGAAGCACAAATAATCCTTCGACTAAATGTCTTTGGAGTAGTGTTTAACAATTTTTACATATTTACAAAAATCGATTCTACGATTATCAAAGTAATACCTTAGGGAAGATGGAGGATATGCAGGAAAATATGCAACTTTCTCTTATAGGTAATGAATCTTCTCAAATTACCGCAATAATTATTTCATTATACGAAGAGTATGCTGCTTAGCTCTAATTTTACGAAATGTTCACTCTTTTCCAACGTAAAAGGATATTTTTATTTCGATATACTTGTTGGTAATCGTATCATCTACATTTCTGTCCGTGAGGGGTCTTATGCCTGGAACTACAATAAAATCATTTCAATTCGAAACCTAAACAGAGAAATAGAGAGTAACGAGAATTAAGAAATTGAGATGCCCAACCCGCAAGAGGTAAATAATTATAATAATTGCATGCAACTAATTGGAATTGAATAGCAACCGGAGGTATTCATTCAATTCTTGTATACTCTAAACGCAAACACAATGAAATGACTGAAAAAAAAAACAAAAAAAAATATATATATATAAAAATTAATCTCAATAAATCTTTGAATGCCACCGCACAGTTCTTTTGTTGTTTTTGGCTTAATTATCGTAAAGGAAATTGAAGTTTTTTTTTTTTTCTCCTGTATATACATATATATATATATATATATTTTCCCATTATTATATATGGTACCTGTTTCGTATTCGTCTTTCACTCCCCAATCTATATGGACATGCATACGTATAAACAAGAAAGAAAGGAAAAGAAAAGAAAAGACAAAAAAAAAAAACATATTTAAATCATTTGTCTTGTGATGGCTAATGCCGTTGCTGCTGTTAAATTTGAATGCATTACCATTGCATTCCACCAACTGTGCGATGCAGTCAGCCGGCTAGCACTTTATTACCAGGCTGTAACAAAACGTCAATCATTCACTGATACACCGATCATTATTTTTTCATTTTCTTTATCTCTGCTTCTTTTTGTAATTGTGTACTTGAGTATAAATTCATAAAATCATTAAAAGAAATAAATTCACAACAAGGAAATTAGATCCTATTTGCTGATGCACTTTAAACTCTAAAGCCTAATTAGCGGTTATTGTAGAGTCGAACAGAGAGTAAATTCGTATTTTAAATATCCCAACTGTTCCATGCAGTTCATGGATCATTACGTTATAAATGTACACCAAACCTGTTTGCATAGAAAGAGTTAAAAGTTATCTAATTAGTCTCGAAAACATATTCCGTCTTTCCTATCTTTTCCAAATTTTATTGACATGTGTACGAATAATTTGTCTCGCGCAGACAATGAAAGGGAACGTTTTCAAAACTTTCCGAAATGCTATTAATTTCGTAACTTACGCTTAATTACACTTCGGTAATTAAGAACTTGTTAAATTAAAATTTTAGAACAGGTGTTATGAAAAATAGATTAACGAACTTGTTAATAAATTTACTTGTAAAGCAAGAAATTATTCGTGTAACTGAAAAATTCCCGGAGCGGCACTAGTATCGTTAAGAGGGTTACTTATTGTACCAGTTTTTGCGATAAAATTCTTACCATGAATGCATGGGGATGAGAGACAGAAAACTTGATCGGCTTAGCATCCAGATCCCATGAGGTGAGCTTCAGATAAGTTGCCACATCGCACTATTTCAACGATAGTTAACCTAATCTTTAGTGAAGACAGCGCTCCAAGCACATATTGCGGCAACCAAAACGGGTGTAACGCTTTTGATGGTGTTCGCAATCACACTTGCAGTCGTATTCTGGTGTCGTGACCGATCATCAAACATAATAAGATAGGGGGCATTTTCTTGCCCCCCTTTTTTGTGATTATGTACCAAAATTTACTATCGTAGAGCAGCAGGCATCCTGAAACTCTCTTGTTGTAGAGCAAGGCGATTAAATTAGGGAAAGTACAAAAAAATGGTTGTAATTGTCCTGTGACTTTTGAGGTCCCTGTTATGTGGCTGTCAGCCACCTTCGTCTCTCATCACTTTTCTTGAAAGAAAATGTACACCTGGCAATATTCTCTACATCACTTGTGGTATAAGGCTACAATACGAGAAGTATGCAACACCCAGAAGCACTTGAGGTGGAACCACTTTTTCCTATACCTATCCATACCTATTCAAAATCACTTTCTGTAGGTTGAACAAAAAATGGACAGCCAGAGAGTGACTCTAAATCGATTTAAGGTGGCAATCTCTCGTTTATTTTGAAGAAATTTGACGCAACAACATGCTTTAGCCCAAGGACGGGCCCTATTGAAAATGGCCCAGATCGGAAAACTTTTTCGAACACTTCGTGTATAACAACTTACTTTAAAAAGTCGTAGGATATCTAGCGACGAACTATGTCCCGTTATAATGGGTCTCTCGTTGACGTTAATGGTGTATTTTACATGTACACTTTGGCGAACAGTTGGAAATATATATGATATCCAATATATGTGAAATTTAAAAATATATTTGAGGTTAAAACTCTACTCGTAATTTGATTATCTGTGGATCGCCGAGTTTGCAAGTGGTTCTTAAAAAATCCATTGTACACTAAACTATTTGCAACTTTAAATGCCCCCTTGAGACATTAATCTTGAACTTTAAATGTAAAATTCTCAGGCGATTTAAGAAGACAGGTCATCAATAATACCAAACATGTGCAATCAAGAGCTTAAAGATGCCAAGTCTTTATAACATACATAGAATATTTATCTAAAAAAATTCCTGTAATGGTAGCTGTTAACTCAACATTCGATTGCTTGTATATCTCCACAACATGTGCTTATCTTATAGGCTTAGTAAGGACCTTTTTCTC